TGGTTGAAATGTTTGTTCTCCCTGTGTTAGAGGTTCACCTCTAAAGAGGAACTGGGCACTACATCCTGGAAGGAGGAATGCCCAGACACTAAATGCTCTTCTAGGAAACACATGTCCCCGTGTGGCCTTTTTCTCCTGCATTCTGAACACTGATTTATCACCATTGCAGCTGCTTAACATCTTAGAGGGGAGTGTTTCATTTTGTCCCCCTTCTTTGTATTCCCTGTTCGAAAATGAGCTCTGTATTTTAAATATTTTAGACCCAGCAGCAGTAAATGTTTTCAGGCTTTGGATAACACCATCACTGCTAGGAGAGGAAGAGTTTAAAACAGCTGTGATGCCAAGCTTCAAGAAAAAAGAAGGAAAAAAATAGCAAAGCATTGTTTGTTAAACTGTCACCAAGCATTGTCACTCAGAATCAGTCTCATTTGTATATGGAAACTCCTATTGCAGGGACTGAGAAAGAAAGCTTAGGATTTTCTAGGAGAGAAAGAGATAATCTTTTTCAGCTAAAGAATAGAAGCATTTAAAATTACTCTCTAGAAAGGTTTGCAGGGAAAATAAATAACTCTAAGAAGAATAGTGTGTCTATTATGGGACTGTTATTAAGATTTCAAAACAGTGAGGGCAACTGTAGCACCCATTTTAAGCAGTGATTGTCATCTAGTGGAGGTTCACTTTTAACCCAGGATTGTTATATTTCAAACTGAGGTCAAGGAAAAGATAGGTTCCTTTGGCATACATCAGAAAAATCAGCCCGCCTTTCCCAAACCTCCTGCTGACAAATGCTGTGCTTTCCTAGTTCAAATCTTGAACAGTTTGTGTGAGTGGGAGATGAAGACAAGACAAAATCTCCTTGCTCTTGGCTCATTTTCCCCATATAGGCAAGGCTCGCACATTCATTTTCTTGGTTCTTTGAAAGCAGAAAATTAAGAAAATATTATGGACGCCATACCTGGTGGGAAATCACTTGAGTTGAACTTGTCACCCTCTTAATGTGCTTATGATGACAGAGTGCTGATTTGTGCATCTAATTACTGAAGTCTAATTATTGCTACAACATTGAGATCAACATGGCACAATAAAATATGCACCACCTTCCCGGAAATGAGTCTTGTTATTCACCTTCTCCTCATGTTGGTGGTGATCTTATTTACAGTGTTATTCAAAATGGAACTTTGTCAAAGATTCAAAGTCATCCCTTTGGAGCATCTGAGCTCTTTAGCACATGCCTAAAAGTAACTTTCTGAGGTTGCAGGTAATGAAGTTTGGCTTCACAAGTGGAAATTACTAATTAGTGTTCTTTGAGGTGGAAAATAGGCATGTAGATAAAAGGAAACCCATAGATGCATTCTATAAAGTCTTTAGAAAGCACTTTTGAAAATGTTCCACACCCTGGGTTACTAATAAATGTAAAAGCTATATTCCTGGGATGGGGGAGTACTCTTTTATCTCAGAAAGTGAACTGTCTTAAGAAATAAAAATAAAATGCTCAGAATACACATGATCTTTTCTTGTATAGAAAGAGAAACTAGAAGGGGGAAAAATGAGATTTCTTTGGGTCGGTATTTTGATGGATTATGTTTAACATGCTTGTTGCATGAAATTGAGGAGCAGTATGATTTCCATTGGCAAGATTCACTCCTAAATATTCCGATTCAGTAGGTCAGAGGCATGACCCAAGAATCTGTTTTCAAATCCTGACTGACAGTCTTATAATTATAGCTAATTTGCTATATGCCAGGCCTTCTTCTGAAAACTTTACATGAATGAACTCTATTATTCCTTATAAAAACCCCAGGGGAGTGTTACTCTTACTGTATCCCTTTTACAGATTAAAAATATGAGGCATAGAGCAGTTAAATAATTCTCCAAAAACACACAGTGAGTGGCACAGATGCAAGTATATGTTTAAAAAAGAGTGTTTTCAGTGATGACCTAGAAGAAGAAAATGGACATTATTGCTGATTGCTTGCTAAAAATGCCGTTTCCTTTTGCAGCTCCTCTCCAAAAGGCCACAAGTATCATGACTTCTATTGAACATGGTAGTTAGGTTATCCATGGACTCTGTTTTGTTCAAGTTTGAGAAAATGTTCGTTACATTTCATTGGCGTTTTGCTTTATTGCTCTTTTTGGAATGTGTAGCCCTGTTTTATTAATTATATGAAAGAATATTATGATATGAAAGGCATTAATGATATGAAAGAACAAAATAGCAACAGATCACTAGGTTTTCTTCTTCTCTGTTGCTGGCCAGGAAATTCCTTCCCCTTTATTTCTCCTCTTTGGGATGTCTATGTGGTTTTGTTTTGTTTTGTTTTAAAGGTCCAAGCAACTTCCTGGGCTTATGGGGGCTTAATAGTCAGAAATAATGGAGAAAGAAAGGAAAATGTGAATTCATTTTCAAAAAATCACCTAAGAGAGAAGAAATGACAAAGTCAGATATTTAATGTAAACAACCAATGCTGGGGGAGGCTGAGGTCAAGACTGGACAGAGCTGTTTTGATTTTCTCATATGTATCTTACAATCTCCCAGTGGTGGTGGGATGTGAGAGTGTGGAGGCTGAAGGTAGAGCCACAGGATATAATGCATTATTTCAGGGTGACTTCAGTCAAGCCAGAAAAGTTTGTGCCACATCCTGCTTGGTGATGGCTATGAGTTAACAGAAAGGGCAGACCCTTTCATCTACATAATTTTCATTTATCAATGAATTTATATTGCTGCATAATTATTCACCTTGATTGTCATCTGATTGTCTTTCC